AAAAAAGCTTATAATAAGAGCAAAAAACAGAGAGCGAATGAGCGCCACTCCCGCTTCCGTCCACCAACACTTACCACTGCTCCAAGTGCCATTGAAGGGCTTCCATTTTAAGCTTTTGCCTAAAATATCAGCGAGCGTCATTGGGCGTCCGCGTATGCGCAGCCCTTCATCCTCTAAACGTATGTATGCAAATGAGAATAGAAATTAAATGAAGTGAATTAATGTCGGTAATTCACTGAGGCAAGAAAATTGAAATTCTGCTGAAAGGGTGTGCCACTCGAGGCTCATGCATAAGTAGTTAGAAATGTATGTACATAAATTTATAGCAGTCGTATATACAACTTTATATATATGTATATATAAGCTCCCAATTTAAATAAAAACAATTTCTTCGAAATATTCTGTTTGTCTCACTGCGCTAAAGTCTTTTAATAACTTTTGGAAAATAACATTTGCTGCTTTTAAATACCAACCAGCCAACCTACGATTTTGTTTTTTCATTCACAGCACAGTTTTTAAATTGACTCACTTATTTTGTATTTGTTTACTTTCATGTTTTCGCTTTCTCACTTACCTGGCGACAGCAGGAAAATGGAGAAAATTATGAGGCTGAATACTGCTGCTATTACCAGTAAGGCTATAAATATGCCACGCCAATTACGTCGTTCCGGCGATATGGCAACCAGCTCCTGCAAAACAAGCAAACAAACAAAATTCATTGAAGCATTAAAGCTATTGAAAGTGCGTATTGAAGCATTAAATTGACAAAAGTAGCGCTGAAAATATTTCGTTCTTTGAGAATTATTTACAAATATGAATTTTTTTTTTATTTATTCTAAATTTTTTGGAAATGCATCTTCAGCGACGCTTCACATATTTTGAAAGCCTCTTATATAAGCAATAATAGTTGGATGTCAAAGAAAGTCTGATTCAATGCTCAGCGAGTGTTGAAAAAAGTCCAAAATATGAGCGAAAATTTTCTACTTTATGAAAATTTAGTAGTAATTTACCTTCTAAGTTAATTAAAAAAAAAAATAAAAAATAAAAATTTTATTAAAAAAAAACTACATTTTTGGAGGTATTTTCAAATCAGTCCAGCTCACGTAAATCTTAATATTTTTGCGAGATATTTTGGTGGAAGTCTTAAAATATAACAGATTTTATAATTCCAGTGGAAAAACATNGAGAACCTCCCGCGAAAGAAAATCCTGGCTACGGCCCTGGTTCCTTAGTTTGAAAACTGCCACATATTTATAAATAGTACAGCAAAGTTCAGCAACTACGCGCAAAAAAAACTTTTAAAATAAACTCGTATGCCATTGGCCTACCACCCCTGGATGCACCAATTCAGGACAATTTATGCGGCATTATTTTCGCTTAATTACTTTACACTCAATAAAAGTTTTATGATTTAAGTTGCTTAAAGCTTAACCCTAAATTTACGGCGGATTAACATAAATAATTGTCAAAAGCCCGTAAAGGATAATATTTGGCAAGAGATGAGAAAACAAATTGCGTGCATGGATTATTAAACATTCGGCGCAAATTCAAA